CTTTCTCTGGTAAGCAATAACAGTCTCTTTATTGGTCTAGTTTTTCATTTGGCTGAGTGTTCACTGGCGTGGACAAGAGAAAGGAACTTCCTTTGAAGAAAGAGAAAGCTCTGATTTTAAGCCAGTTACAGAGAGGTAGAGAATAGGGTACAAAATTGCCCCCAAATTGGGGTATAAGTTGTATTAGAATCAACTTGTTCTGTTTTTCAGGTACCTTTCTTTGCCAAGCAGCCACGTGAAGAAGACATCCAGCTTTTCCTCTGTGACCCTGAACTTTTTTCTCTCCCTTTGCAGACTCTGAGATTAAAAGGCGGAGTCACCTACAGCTGCTGAACTCAAAGGCGTCCCTGGGTGTCTCTTCTTTCTTCACCATCAGCTGGGTACTCCTGCCTCTCTCCCCTTACCTGATGCTAAAATAATGTGCCCTGGACACACAGAAACACGCAAAGTCATTGGTACGACAGGTGAGATGAATCACGAATGGCGTGGGGATCGGATCTGTGTGTGCTTGCGTTCCTAACAAGAGTCAAGCAACCTCCAGCATCAGCCTCAGAAAGAAACATTTGATAATGCCAGGGCAGTGGGCACTCTTCCTGCTGGTCTTGTGAAAGGTAAATATGTGTGAACAAAGAGTGTAGATCTCATCGATATACTTCCAGCAAAAACAACTCTGCAATTCAAATATTTGTGTAAATTCAAACATCTTTTCATTGACCGAGTTATCCAACCACAAGGCATAAAGACAAAGAGAAAGAGATGTTTAGCCCCGCCAGTTCCTCTGGATTTCACTGTTATCTTACAAAACCTCATGACATGCACATAATCACTCACACAGGTGACCTCTTCCTAGCCCCCCAGCAAAGCTCCTATTGACCAGAAGTTTGACAAATGACTCCCCAACTAGCCCTGCCCCTGCTGAGACTTCTGTCACTTCAGTCCTCTGGCTCCCATTATTAGTAGGACATTGCTTTCTGAATATTCTTCTTGTATGGCATCTGTGTACAGCTGAGCTCATGAAGCTCCAGTCAGCACTATCACATGACTCAGCGGCATCGCCACCATCCATCCAGGCTCGCAACCTTAGAGCTATTTCTGTCCCCGCTCTGTCCTTGATGTCCATTTGTTACTAAGCCCCAGAGCATTTTCCCTGGGTTGTCCCTCAGACTGACCCTAATCCAGCCTCCACTGTTTCACACACCAGACTAGTTCTAAAACCTTATACTTGCTCCTTCCTCTCCCTGTGTCCATCAATAGGAAATAAGATGCCAAAATTAAATGATTCCAATGCTATTTTCATCACAGCATTCCTTTGCTCTGGAACTGAACGTGACTCTCTGGGCACTATTGTGTCAAAGTCAAAGTCCTCAGCCATGTGGTCACAACTCTCTGAGAGTTTCTTTCCTTGCGCTTCCTGCTTCTCTCAGCTGCCTGCTCCTCTCTCTGGCCTTGCTCCCTCTCTCACTGCCCCTTTCTGGAAGTCCCCTCAACTCTATGGCTATTCAAAGCCACCCTTCCTTCACCCATTTCAATCAAGTGCTTCCCAGCTCTTAGCCCACTTCCCTGATGATCCCTTCATTCCCCATCCCCTTGGCATGCATGAATAATTTATGATCTCTTACACTCTCGAAGGCACATATATTCCTGGCCTAGATTGTTAAGTAGGGCAGGCAAAGATCTGTTGATCTGCTTTTCATTCTTTCTCCTGTTCTCCAAACACAACAGTGCAGTGCACAAAAGGGATTCTTTGTAAGGAAACCCGCCCGGGGCCCACCTCCACGGTTGACAGTGGAGGGAGATTTCCCTGAGGAAACTCTCTCTTGAGGATCTCACTAATAGAAAAGGAACACACTTTCTTCTTTCCTTGATTCCCCACAACACTGTAAATGAATTTTTAATATCCTGCAACTAGATAATCTAACCTATAAAGTATAGCTGATTCATCTTTATCTTGTATTTCCTTTGAGCAGTCATTTGCAGCCTTTTTTAAAAGACATGACATCCGGGCGCCTGGGTGGCTCAGTCGTTAAGCGTCTGCCTTCGGCTCAGGTCATGATCCCAGGGTCCTGGGATCGAGTCCCACATCGGGCTCCCTCCTCAAGGGGAAGCCTTCTTCTCCCTCTCCCACTCCCGCTGCTTGTGTTCCTGCTCTCGCTGTCTCTGTCTCTGTCAAATAAATAAATAAAATCTTTTTAAAAAAAGACATGACATCCGTGTAAGGGACCATGTTCACATGCAGTATGCATAGGTTATATACAGTTACCTGATTAGCTACAGCTCCACCTCTTTCTCCCTACAACTACAGAGGCATAACCTTAAATCAATTTTTAAAAATAAATAAGTAGATCATTACCTGTGAAACCCATGAGGGACTGTGGGGGAAGGTCATTGAAAAGATGTGAGTGACTGTCAGTTGACCCATGAGCTAGACCCGGGTGATCAGAGGCTCCTCACCTCCACCCCTGTCCTTGGGACAAGGGTCCCACTTGCCTGTCTCGCTCCCAGAGGCTGCTCCAGGGACACGGCCTTGAGATAATGATGTGGCGTTGAGAACACCTTGCACGGTGTATGTGACCGAACCTAGTGATGGCCCCTATATAAAATTTTAAGACTTGCAAGGATCTACTCGTCCTCTTGCTGCCCAGGACAAGCCTCATGTATAAGTGCCCTTTGCTCAGAGACTGCCACCCACCAACCTGGAGTGGTCTGCCTCTTTCTTCTGTCTCTCCCTGCTCTACAAGGAAGGGGGCGCAGTTTCAGACTATTCCCAGGGAGCTCCTCCTGGGAGAGTTGCCAACCAACACTGAGCACAACATTTTAGGTCACACACATTCCTTGGTTGGACACTCAAGGAGAAGTCATCTTTCTACTTCTACCCAGAAGCCTGCTCCTAGCTCATCTCTCAGTTCCTGTCTTCTCTAAGCACAATCCCCTTCCTGAAGAAGAGACTCAAGCCATCTTCTTTCCCCCAAGCAACCCATGGTAGCATGTGATCTTTATAGAACATCATCCAAATACAGAAAAAGGAGCCCATCTCTGAACAAGAGATACCCTCATACAGGGGCAGAGACAATTGGTACTCCATAATGTTTGCTGAATGGTTGTAAGGACATCATATTTCTGTTATTTTCAGAATCCCAGGAATCTGCAGAACTATTTCACCATAAGATATGACCTAGTTTTGTATTTCTGGGGGGAAATGAATTCATGTCTAGAAGTTTGGAGTGAACAAATAAGATCAAGAAGCAAAAAAAAAAAGAAAGTCAAAAGCAACCCACAGAAGACTCCAATATGAACCAAATAAATCTATTTTCAAAGACCTATATTAAAAGCTGGGAACATAATTCATCTGAACTGGATATGTGTTAGGACTAAGTCAATTGCAAGTGGAGACAAGTGGATCTCTGTACCTCAGGGACCTCCCCTTACAACCACCCCCCTCATCCAGGGAGTGAGAGGATGGGATATTGCCTCTCCTTTGTCTCTGAATCTTTATATTGCTGTAATGTTGCTCTAAGTTCCCAGAAAATTTTGATTTGCAATACCTCCACATCTTATAATCCATAAATTAAGCCACAGTGGATACAGTAAGAAGCTGCTAATTAACTGCCACTTCACAATTCAGAGGTGGCTGAATTTTAGTGATGGGTCAAATAATTCACTTTTCGTTAGGATGCTTCCCAAAGTGCCTTGGAATCTCCTCCCACCTGACAAATGCTAAAGAAATGTGGGCAAGGTCATAATTTTAACTTAAAACATGTAGTTGGGAGACACCAGTTTTCCAAATTATCCAAACATCTTCTTTTTTAAACAAACAAATGCCATTTTATTTCTCAGATGACATGCATCCTTGACTGGTCCAGGAAAGGACCTCTCGTCATCACTGTATAAGGCATTAGGTCAACACAAGTGTTTCAGGCTTCTCCTTTCTGTCTTGCGTGGACAGTGATAACCTCGGCTTTCAACAGCACCTAGAGCAGCGGGACTCAATTGGGGTGATTTTTCACACCCCTCCCCACACAGAGCCGACATCTGAAAACGTTTGGAGACAATTCTAGTTGTCACAACTCGGGGGAGAGAGGAGGGTGCTAATGTTATGGATAGGACCCAGGGATGCTGCTCAACATCCTACAGTGTACAGGATTACCCACCCACAACAAAGAATTACCCAGCCCCAAATGTCAGTCCTAGAAGAGGATGTAGAGAAGAGGGGGGTTAAACAAAACCTGTTTGCTTCCTACAGAGAGGCACCATCCTCTGTCTCTCTGGCTGCTGTCACAGCACAGAGAGTCAGAGCTCAGTTTCAGGCAAACAGGAATTCCTGATGGGGCTGTATCTGGTGGGTTTTCCCTTCCTTCTACGGTACAAATTAGGTTCTGTGAGAGCTGCCTGAGGTCTATCTCAAGTTCTCTTGCTCCAAATTCAGATCTCAGGACCCTGCCTAGTCATAATTCCAATGAAGGCAACGAAAACTTGTCCCCTCCTTGAAACATACAGAGACTTCTGAAAGCAGGGGCAATGGACCTTTGAAATGAGACCCTAAAGAATAAAGTTTTAATCGAAAAGAATGCTTTGTTCACACACACACCCCCTTTCCATACTTTTCACTTGTTGAGGTCTGCCTCCCTGACACTTTGGACCCACCATGACTGTATTACATTTTGCTATAGAAAACTCAGTTTTTGAGCTCTGAGCATTCAAGAGAATGATTAAATGCACATTTCCTATACTGTTGTCTGCCTGGTTTGTCAAAGAAAGTGAGCATAGGGAAGATGGATAAAAAGCCATGGATCAAGTTCTAAAGATTGGCACCTAGCACATAACAGGCCTTCAATAAATGTTTGTTGAATGAAGAGAGACATGAATAGGAGTGGCTGGGCCTAGTTTCTGAAGGAAACTCCATAGACTTTGCCAAGCCTGCCATGTGTCCATCTGGGAAAGGTCTCAGTGGCTTGAGGCAGATAACATTTGGGAGAATACATACAGGTTGACAAACCCATTGCTCTAGTGTCAAAAAATCTGATGTTTACTATTCAGGAATTGTCAAATTCTCAAATCTTAGAGGTGAAGGACCTCAAAATCATCTTGCCTAGTCCTTTCACTTTTCAGATGAAGACCCAGAGGCCCAGGGTGAAGTGTGTGTCATGGCCTCAGGTTATGTGACTTGCCAAAAATTGCACTGATAGTTGGTAGAGGGATAAAAATCTATAGAAAATTTAATTGCCAAAGGACAAATTCTCGGGGACTTTCAGAACAACTCTTCCCTGCTGTATTTCCAGCTTGGTCCTAATTGGCCTTTTACAAGAAGGGACCAATGCTGAACCAAATTGAAAAAGCAAACTGTGAGAGCATAAACATTCCCAACCCAGGTTAATTCTTTGGCCTTGTCCATGAGCACACGGCAGATGCATTAGACAACAGTATTGTATCAGCTAAAGTGAAAGAACCAGAATATGATGCACACCACAAACATTTGGGGAAGCTCAAACCTGGATGCCAACGGCTAAAAAGTTTCAGAAGTGTTACACATTTGACCGAACAAGTCCAATTTCAAGGTGCAGTATCAGCTCCCAGCTATCCCCAGGTTGTCTGAAGATTTGTTTTCGGTGCACAGTGACCTCAATCTGTGCATTATTAATTGGGGAAAGGGTGTGCACAGTTCACTATTGCATAATAAAGCTTCTGCTTGATGGCATATGTGGTATGTTTCAGTTCTGTTGATGGAACGGAATTCCCAATCTCCCTCCGGCTGATGAAGTCTCCACACATCCAACTGGCTGTTCTAATCCAGACTGTCTTACCATGTGCCTGAGCCCCTGCTCCTTCTGACTTTGTCCTATTTCCTCTTTCACGTCAGTCATCTCCAGGAGTTCCAGTATGAAAACCATGAATGAGAATTAACTGTCACAAAAATAGAGCCTTAGCTATGCTCTCTCCTGTCTTTCTTTAAATTCTACCTACCCTCCAGCAAAATTCTTTCCCCATGAAGCTGTTTCTGAGCAGTTCTACATAACATGATTTTACTCTTGTCTTTGGTCTATGCATGCAATTTAGCATGGTTTTCACTGCTGTGTGCTTGGACTCCCTTGAAGATGATGACAAAATAAGGATGGGGGTCCAGGCAGGTAGCCCTTGGAAGTCTACTCTTAGAAGAGGGTCAAACAGATACACCCAAGAAGCCTTGTTTTCCTGATGGCGTTTGCTGGGACAAAGCAGTTAAATCGCAGCCTAGAAGGGGGCTCTGCACTTACCACTACAGGAGCCCCTGTGTCTACTGAAAGGTCTGGCTCCCCCAGAAAATGATATGTCTGTGGCTGCTCAAAGTCATAACTTGACCTTCAGCATTACCTTGTCTCTTCAGTTCAAATCTAAACATCCTGCCTAAGGAGTGTCCTTAGCATTTTCAATCAGAAGATCCCTTACCCAAAACTCTAAACAACATTTCAAATAAGAACTTTATGAATATCTCCCTTCTTTAGAAGAAGCCAAAAGTGATGCTCAGTTAATCTAGCCTGTGAGCAGTTCATAGCAGAGTGAGAGCATTTCCCTTCTCTTTGCCCTCTATATCTGCAGTTACCAAATGTTATTTGTAACTACTTATGTGTCATTCTAGAGAGAACGAATTAGGTTTTGACAGATACAATTCCAGGACCTTATGGTACGTAATATGACTTTGATGAGTTGGTTCAGGTAGCCATATAGGACTCCAGTGGTGGGTCCAGGCCTCACACCTAGGGTAGGTGAGACTAGAAGTATGACAGGGTTACAGCATACACATAACAGCTTCTATTGAGAGGCAGTGGTGCCCCAGAAGAAGCCAAGTCACAGCCTGCTAAATGAGGATCTAGGAGAAAAATAATAATTGTCTTCAGTTTCCTCTCCCTTCCCTTTTATCCATTTTCTCCCACATGGCCCAGTCAACCCTCCTGTAGGCCCTGAATACTCTCTGTGTTTCCACCATTCTTTCCATTAACTGCCCCACCTACCACTGCCCAAGAAAGAAAATGCTTCCTGGCACCTAGCTATACATAATTTATGGACTACCTTCTTCATTAGCTTAATGTCTTGCCCTCCCATGAAGGCAAGTCCTTACTTTATTGAAATAAAGCCGTGATTGAAAATATCAAACAAAAATATTAAACTACTGAGAGATACTTGGGATATCAAAGTGTAGACCAGGGATTCTCAGCAGGGAAGTCTGGGGGCAGGGGGTGGTGGGGCTTTTTAACAATACAGACATCACTACCTCCTTCCCATCACTGCAGTGAGGAATCACTGTGTGACATGAGACAGATTTGAAGAGAATATGTTACCTTTATACACAGGGGACTATTGTGGAAGTCTTGAGGTCAACTGAGGCAAACAGGTACCTTTAGAGAAGGAAAGGAAATCGAGCGCCTCCTATGTGTCAAATGTCAGACTAGGTCTTTTTTCTCATTCAAGCCTTATCCTATATGGCAGGTATCACCTTGCCCCATCACCATCACCATCACCATTTTACAGAGGAGAAAACAGGTCCTGAGAGGTTAAGTAACTTATTTAAGATCACATAGCCAACAGGTTGAACCAGAATTCAAGCTCAAATCTATCATCACAACCCATACTATTTCTGAAAGAGTCTGGTCATGTGTAAAAGCGCTATCAGAGGCTTAAAATATAATATAAATATTGGCCATCATGTAATTATATGTATTAAAATATGAGGAGTCCTTGGGAGCGTTCAGCTTCGTTGCTCCTGCGGGTTTGCAGCTATCTGTGAGGACGGCTCTTCTCCCTGGAGGAGACTGCAATACTGCCTCAGTTACACTTGGGGCCCTTTCCCACCACAGCCTCTCCCTGGGTCACTGAGGGGCTGCCAGTGGAATCGCAAGCCTCTCCCACCGGCTCTGGCGACGCCACCTTGTTGTGTTCCCAACAGTCCTTCTGGGACTACCTCTGAGACTTCAGAAGAGGACTGTGATCTGCTGAAGTGAAGCCTTTTCCAGTTGATCCAAAATGTCTTCTGAGACCAGTTTATACGGTCATTCTTGTCCAACCTCAAGTACACCTGGAAAGAACACATTTAATTACTATAACTTCTCCCCTGGGTCCACTAATGTTGAGCACTGGATCACACATGACCCCTTCTCCTCTGTCATGACCAACCGTACTGCTTTTATGCAATCAAATCTATCAGTTTTTCCACTTTTGTTTCTTCTTTTAGTACTTCTGTTTATGTATGTTTAAATATAAACTTCTGCACCCCTGGGTTAGGTCAAGCTATTCATCTTTACAGATGAATATTTCCATGTTTCTTTTTTAACATTTAAAACTTTACTCCAGGGGTGCCTGGGTGGCTCAGTCGGTTAAGCGTCTGCCTTTGGCTCAGGTCATGATCTCAGGGTCCTGGGATCGAGTCCCTCGTGGAGCTCCCTGCTCAGCGGGAAGCCTGCTTCTCCCTCTCCCTCTCCCTCTGCCGCTCCCTGGGCTTGTGCTCGCTCTCTGTCAATAAATAAATATTTTTAAAAATAAATAAATAAAACTTTACTCCATCTTAATTTTTGGTATAATCTGTGAGGTAAGGGAGTTAACCACTGTTTTTTCAAATTATTCTCCAATACTATTTGTGAATTAATCCTTACCTCCACTAACTTTTTCAAATACTACATTGCATGTTTCTATATATACTTGTGTCTGTTCCTGAACTTTTGATAACCTTTGAGACCTACCATTTTAACAAGTCTATACAGGGAAGGAAAAAGAATAGTTATATGCAAATACAGCTTTCCTAGCTATTCCCTGGAGATGGGTAAGAAAGAGACCAAAACAGGGGGGAAAAATCAGAAGTGAATAGTGAATGATCAGAAGGGACTTATCAGTTCAATAAATAAACCCTTGTAAGAATTTGCCCTGGTGTAAAGGAAGGTGTTACTATTCTCCCTTAATGTAGTGAGCAAGGAGGAAGCATAATCAGGAGAGAGATACACCTGTCAGAAAAATGCTTGGCTCCATTTAATTCCTCTCCCCACCTCACCCATTTATGAGCCAAAGTATTCTACTTACTTACCTACCTTCAGGGTCAGGCCTGGGCATAGTCTGAACAGAGTTCCTGCTGTGGGCAAAAATCACATTGGGAGTCCCTGTCTCAATAGGACCTACCCCATTCGGTAACTGCAACTATTAAAGAGATAATTCATGAAAAGCAGTTACTACATTGCCTGGCTGTACGAGTTGGCTAGAAAACTGACATAACAAAGTACCACAGACTTGGGGGCTTACACAACAGAAATTAATTTCCTCACAGTTCTGAGGGCTGGCAATCCCAGATCAAAGTGTCGCTGGTTTCGTTTCTCCTGAGGCCCATCTTCATGGCTTGCAGATGGCACCTTCTCGCTGTGTGAAAAGGCACTAGCCTTTTCTCAGTACATGTGCATCCCTGGTGTCTCTCCCTCTTCTTATAAGGACCAGTCATATTGGGTTAGGGCCCATTCATACAACTTCATTTAACCTTAATTCTCTCTTTAAAGGCCCTATCTCCAAAGAGTCACATTCTGAGGTATACTGGGGGTTAGGACTTCAACGTACGAATTGGGGGGAGGGTACACAATTCACACAATAACACTGGCATATATGAAGGAACTAATAAAAAGAAGCTATTCTTAAGTACATGTGTTGGGCAAGGCAAATAAACATCGATGCAACCGTAACAGGAAATAGATGAACAACTTCGCTTTTTCTTCCTTTCTGACCAAGAATAGATGTCCAATGCTTGAAACAGCTGGGACACAACAGAAAGCCTTGTGCAAATAGCTACCTATTCCAACCAGGTCAGAGGATACTTGAAGGCTAGAGCACAATGGCTCAGCAGGTGGATGCTGCTAAGGGAACTGAATTGGCTAATGGCCTCCCCAAAACCATAGGTTACTATTTTAAATGTTACAAAAGACCGTAGAGCATGAAAAGATGAAAAATAAAACCAGCGTGGGTCCAACCTTCAAAGGAGGAGAACTGAGTGATAGGGGCAGTTTGGCTGCATGAGACTAAACTAAACTGCTGAGTACTAAGCTGTCTGGGGGCTAGGGGGAGATCACAATCTTTTCTGTCCTGGGGCTCTCAGGACAGAAAATAGCCTTTTCCTTTTTTCTTTCCTTTTCACTAAAATCCTTTTTGCAGTCCTTGAAGATGGAAAACGGCTGTGTGCTGGCCAAAATCATGCAAAAGGGACACAAACACACTTACCCCTAGTGCTACATAATGTAAATGTAAAAGAGGGCTTATTTGGGGAAAAACCTCCCAAGCAGATTTGAAGGAGCAGGGCGAGCCTCTGCGCTTCTGTAAGAGCGGCATGCTTAGGCAGGGCGTAGCTGCACGAGACCCAGCAGGGCCAAGCGTTCAAGTAGAGAGTAGTCACCCACCGCCATTACAGTGCCAAGTGACCCTCCCCCCAACAATGCTCTGTGTATTTGTGGAAAAAGAACAGTAGGTAACTACAATGCCATGGAAGCCCCCAATTGAGGAAAGGCCTTGTTACAAAGGGGATCACCCAAAGCTCAGGAGCTAGTATTTCTTTTTAAGATTTATTTATTTATTTTTATTTTGAGAGAGAGAGAGAGACTGAGCATGGGGGGAGGGGCAAAGGGAGAGAGAGTGTTAAGCCGACTCCACATAGAGCACAGAGCCTGACATGTGGCTCGATCTCAGGACCCTGAGATCACGACCTGAGCCGGAACCAAGGTCAGCTGCTTAACCGACTGCACCACCCAGGTGCCCCCGCTGGAGCTAGTATTATGTCATTCTCCGCCCAAGGGCTTTCAGGGCCCTCCAGATGCACATCTACTCAGTCAAGGAAAAGGAATATGTACCAGCCATTGTAGGGAGGGCAATCCTCGCTACATATAGATGTCATTGGACTACTGGTCAGTTGAAATGGCAGCACCAAGTGGGAATGATTTTCTTTACGAGCTCTTCTATAGGTGTGGTCTTTAAGAGCCAGGACTCTGCAGGACTCTTATTTTTTGCATTAGGGCCCAAATTGTGATTGAAAAACAAACAAACAAACCACAAACAAACAAACAAAAACAAGAAAACCCTCTGGAGTTACAGTGCCAGAAAGGACCATGAACATGGGCTCTCTAAATTTCTTTGTGTCATCTGAAGACCACCAACAGCCTCTTATCCCCAGGGCAGAGACAGCCCTCTGAGTTCACTGAGGGATGAAGTCTTTTCTTTTGACTTTCTGCTTCATGTGCTCAGTTGCTCCCTGGACGAATGGTGGTCCAAATTTTATCATTAACGCTATGAAAATAGTAAAAATGTCTCAAACATCTATTGTAGAGCAGATGTAATTTACATCAAAGGAAGAGGGTCACTTTAGTCAAAAGATTGCAGACATTTTTGGTAGTTACCAAACAAACAAAAATCTGATGATTCTCAAATTTTTATCTCCAGCTTTCATCACTCTCTCCCAATCTGGACACATTCCCAACTACTGACCAGGCACCTCCATCCAAAGCTACCTTATTCTAAACACATCCAAAACAAGCTCATTTTTGTGGGTTATACTATCTACTTAAGTCATCCACGTTAGAGCTTTCAGTCTTTGAAAACTTTGACCCCTAACTCCTAATTAACTGGTCATCAATTTTTATCAATTATACTGCCAAAATGCCTATATCCTTATTGTTCCACTGTTCTTTATCCTTACTGTTCCTTAGTTCAGTATTTTCTCTCAAGTGAACAACTGCCCAACCTCTAATCTTCCTGCCTCCAGTTTCATTTTGATTTTTGATCTGAGAACCATCCCTTTGAGACATGGTGGATGGGAATACAAGCTTGACCTCTCCTGAACAGGAGGAAAAAAGCAAGAATCCCTTAGGTCCAACTCACAATAGAAGAGTGACAGAGCTGAGAAACAGAGGAACAAGTCTTTCCCCGTCAATGTGGCATGATGCTGTGGTTTGATCCAATGATTGTGGCAGAGTTCTATGCATTTTCTTGAGAGGAGATGGGAAGGAGATGTTCTTGATGGAAGATGGGAAGACAGAGGTAAAATGGCTACTCAACTGGGGGGGTTAAATTAGCCAAGAATCTATTAGGACTCAAGATAGGCGATCCTTAGTTTTCCTTAAGTAATACGCAAAAGAACTTGGGTATGTACACGCTCTAAAAATTATAGGCAAATTTTAATTTTTAGAGAAAACAATTACTCCTAAATCTACCACCCTGATAATGACTATCAAATCTATACATACCCTTCTAGCTTCTTCCCACTGCATACGTATTTTACATAGCTGCAATCACAGCCTTTGTCTTGAGTAAATATATAGAATTATATACCTAAAGATGTGCTAAGTTAGAAAAACAATTGACCTGGGGCGCCTGGCTGGCTCAGTCGGAAGAGCATGCCACTCTTGATCTCAGGGTTGTGAGTTCAAGCCCCACGTTGGGTTTAGAGTTACTAAAATAAATAAACCTAAAAAAAAAAAAAAAAAAGGAAAACAATTGACATTACCTAATCTCATGCATTTCACTTGAGGACTTTTCAATCTGGTGTATATCATTCATTAGAGAGTAGCTCCTAATGGTGAAGGGTGACGTTGGAGCCTGGTTGTACCTACACAATTTTACACAAAAGGAAGGGTGCCGAATTTGGTAAAGTTCTAGCCATTTAATATCAGTGGACCTCAGATATGGGGAAAATGCCTAAAGTCTAGGAAATAAACAAGAGGATCTCTTACCTTCATAGCACATTCTGGCACTTAACTAGCAGCATCCTTAAAATGGGGTTAATAATACCTGCTTTCCAGGGCTTTTGTGAGGAATAAAGTATGTGAAATTACATTGTAAACTATTAAAAAATGATACAAATTTAAGGAAAAACTATTAGTATCACTCCTAAGTCTGTATCTCTCACTAAACTCCAAATTTAGTGGAGTTTACTTCTTTTTTTTTTTTTTTTTTTTTT